TGAACACAAGACCAAGTTGCGACAACGAGGTCAACCCACTTCTATAAGTCGAAAGGAGACTGCCACCATAACATAGGCCACAACATCTTGGTCTTCATATATTGAGAAAGTCTTCTTGAGAAAACAGAAGAGAAAGGAATTGTATATTGCTTGTTTTGGTTAATCAAGTCATGTGATTTGTCTATACATTCTTTTAGTCTAGTCTTAACCAAACCACATGATACATGCTCCAGTTTCCCATTAGTAAAAATAGATAAATCTGGACGACTACCAAAAATATAACATCTGGGAACAAAATAATGTAAAATACAAATTTTTAAAAATCTAATAGTATTGACTTGTCATGATTACCATTAAATCATATGATTCATGTTCCCCCTATTTCGTTTAAGATAATAAAGCACTGCTAGTTTAATTTTCCTACAATGATATGAGTAGAGCTAATGTTTCAATTGAATTAAATATAGCTTTGCTTTTGCAAAAGGTGTTCTCACCCAGGGTGGACTGCAGTTTCGACCTGGCCTAAGTCTTACAAACACCGCTAGCGTAAGTCGAAACATGACAGTGCATCGTGTAATCTCGATACGTTAACAACTACGCCACATTGCTACGAGTGCCTATGGGTCACAAGGCATATGTGAATTTCAAGAAAAACCAGGCATTTTCCAATATCACCTTCTGTGGTGGGATTGCCGACGGAGCAAACTTATATTTGCTATATGTCAGCTCTATTCTTATCAATTTAAGAAAATTCAAATATCAGTCCTTTATCACCTTAAAAGAAGTAGGATGAACATAACTCTCTTATCATGACTCATTCGCTAGGACTTAAACACATGAGCTTTCACATTGAACATAACCGACAGGTCACGTCAAGTCAGACCATCGTCCAGGAACCAATTCAGGTGCGTACATTAGTTAAGTAACTAAGCAAAAACACTGATGACGAGGAAATTCACGTCACTCACGTCCGTTTGATGCTGACGACTGCACCGTAAGGCTCCAATCTTCCTTCCGGTCCTACACTTCTTTATTAAATCGACTTAAATCTACGTCTTTAGCACTCTACAATCTCGCTTTTAACTCATTCTGTCCTATACAAACCATTTTATGATTCAGTCTTCTCACTCTGATATATTGGATATTCATACATAGAAGGAAGAACATATTTTGGAGATAGATCACAAAAATATCAGTAGAACATCCCTATTTAATAATAATACAGAAAAACCATGCTTATCATCTTCAGGCAGATTCAACATTAAAAAAAGCAAATATTGGAATAAATGAGAACCAAATTATGCTTAAGCATTCATATTAAGACAATCAAACGCCGAAGAACATCTTAATACATAAGGCAATAAAACTGAACTTACGCTGCATAAGTAAGATCAAATCTAATAGGAAGCTGGAAGTCAAGTTGAATAGTAGCACACTGATGCCGCCTCCTTATAGCATCCATTATTGTTATATCGATCTTGGGGCCATAGAAGGCACCATCACCAGCATTTAGTTCCCATTTGAAGCCGCTCTCATTCAAACTTTCTTCAAGTTGCTAAAAAATGAAGCAGGAGAAAATATAAGAAATTATACGGTATATAATATGTATATATATATATATATGTTAATATAAGTTGGGGAATAAAAAAATCTGAAAAATAAAATATTTATAGTTTGTTTAGTGACATAATGATGCTATATACAAATAAAGAAAATAAAAATACGAAAATGACAAAGCAGACAAAAAATTAAGACCTAATTGTGACGCAACACAAGAACATATGTGATTTTTCAAACTTATTGAGAGCTGATACTCACCTTCTCAGCCTTGTTCCACAATTCAAGTTCACCGAGATAGTCATCAGGACGTGTTGACAGGTAAAGATTAAATGAAAATCCGAATACACCATATACATGCTTTAAAAAGTCGAGGCAGTTTTTAATTTCCGATTTTATCTGCATAAGAGAATGAAGTATCAAAATTTATAGCGTATTTCAACAATAGATTATAATAAAAAAAAGAGAATGCTTAATTCTATAACAATGTACCAACTTCAC